GGGGAAATATTCAGTGCTAATCCTTTTGTGGGGTACTTTCCTGCATTCCTTAGGCCCCTCACCTGCCTCGTGGGCTCTTTCTCTGCCTCCTTCAATTCCTTTACTGCCAGCGGTGCCTCCCCCAGGGCACCTCGGCCCCTCCTCCCTGGCTGCCCCTTTCCCTCACATGGCCCACACCTGAACCTCATCAGTACTTAACAACAAATTGGGGGGCCGGTATCTTCCCAGCACAAGCTCCTCTTCTGACAGGCCTGTGGCAGCCGCTGTCCTTGGCTTTGGACTTTTCCAGGTATAAACAGAACCTCAGATCTGTGCTGCACAGACTCTAGGAGACAGTCAAGTTATCTGAGTAGCCTCATTGAGGACCCTCTCTCTTGGCTTAGCCTTCTTTCCTCCCCTTCAGGGAAGAGGACATGGGAACACACCATGCTTTGACAGTCTTTTCCAAAGAAATTCTCTATTCTGACTTCAGTCTCAACTCTGATTTTTCTATGACCTTGAAGTGACTGTTTGGCTAACTCACGGGCCAGTCTTAAGTAGGTGATCGAGCACTTTACTTCAGAATGTGGGAAGTGCCATTAATTATTCTGCTGCAGGCCTTTTTTGGGCTTCCTTGTCTGAGACTCAGACAAGAGTCCCATTTTAACATCCTATTTTCTGTTTATTGATCCCCAACCACAATCCAGACCTGTTAGGCCCTCTACAACGTATTATGTTATCATCTTTTTAACTTGTCTCATAACTCCAGGATGTGCTATTCAAACTACAGATCTAAGGAAGTTAAAATCTGGCTAGAGGTTTAGCTTTTCAAATTATTTCGGTCAATTATAAATTTAGGCAATGATACTTTAAAGGTATCTTGACCCCGTGATAACAACTGTTCAGAGTTATTGGCAGGAAACTAGCCGTTCGCTGTAATGACCTTTCTGAGCAAGTTCAGGTAGAATATTTACTAGGATTCCCTTTTACATCGTAGCTTTAAATGGAAATCATTTAGATCTTGGCAAGTTGGTTACAAACAGCTGTTAACGCTGCCCTTGAGTAAAAAAAAAAAAAAAACTCTATTATTAGTTCCAATGCATGTAAAACTTCTTGGTTAAGCAAAAGTACCCAAGTGGTGAATTTTTTTGATTTTATGGTTAACTAAGATTAATCAAGAGCTCCTGTCAGTTTCAGGTTTTTAAAATACTTCCTTTCCTGTATTAGATCATAACTGAATCTTTATTTGATGATTAAGCAATATTGCAATGACAATGGCTTATTATAAATATGAATGATATTTGTATAGCAATATTATAGATTTAAAGGGTATAGAAAATTAAGTAGAATCTGCCCTTTTTTGTGCTTGAATTCCTAATTCAAATTTGCTTTGGTTCTTTCTCCTCAATATAAAGTTTAGTTGACTGAGAGCCCTGGTTGGTAAGGTTCTGGATGATCAAAGTGTAAAATTCTATCAGGTTTCAAAAGAACAGGACTATAGTGAGCCCTTATCCTTTGAAGATAGTAAAGGATTCAATGCCAGAATGATTGTCTCTAAAAGTGCATAATTTTTACTTGAGGGAGAAAAAAGAGATCATTGTTTCACAGACATAAACAATAAGGACACTCACTTTCGTAGAGTGACTACCATATGCCAAACACTGTTCTAAATGTTCTGATACCCAGGATCTCTTTTTTAATCTTCATGGCAGCCTGATGAGGCTTGTGCCATTATCATCTCTACTTTACAGATTATAAAACTCAAGCTCAGAGAGGCTAAGTAGTTTTTCTAAGGTCCCATAAGGTCAAACCCAGGTCTACTCAATTCCAGAGCTCAGTTACTCAACCTCTGATACCACTCGCCTATAAAGTGTGTTACCTCCAGTTGCATAGGCGAGACAGTCAACCACAAGAGAAGCATAGATTGTAGATCAGAAGTCCTAGGTTCAAACTTCGGCCTATATGCTAACTGCTGGGTGACCTTGAGCATGCACTTGATCACTCTGGACTCTAGTACTCACATCTATCAAAGGAGAGCGTTGGACCAAAGTTGCCATTTCTCACTGGTCCTCAGAGCCCTGCTGCCCTCAGCAGCCCCACTAGACAGAACAGTGCCCCATTTTCCTCTTTCATACATAAGGGTTCCACATAGAATGTTATTTTAGGGTGGGGGAGGGGAGATTGTTCGTACAAAAATAAATTTTAAAAAGCAATAAATAAAATAAAACAACAGATAATCAAATAACTGCCTGGATCCCCTGTAGGCCTGAGATTTTATGACACTGGAGATTTTATTTTTCTATTTCAAGGGAAGAGAAATGCTCTTGTTTTTTCTGTTGATCAAAGATATTACTTTCCCACCCAGGGGAGTCATTCAGGCATCAGCACAGAGTTTGTGGTAGGAAGGGACAATTGAGTATTTTGTGGGCTGATTAATGTGTCACAAGTTTTAAGTGTTGAGGGACCCAGATAAGTGAGTAGATAGTTTCACTGCAAACCAGCTTTTGTCTTGACTGATTCCAGTCACAATTCTAATGTGTGCTGTTGAGGGAGAGGGGTTCCCACCCTACCAAGCAATTCTTGGACATCAGCTGGGTGTCTTACAATTCAACTCGAGAGTGTCAGATCCTGCAGGTACTTCTGACTGGGTTAAACCAGAGGTTCTCCTGACCACCTCCTTGGATTGATTAATCTGCTAGAGCAGCTCGGAGAAACATTTTGCTTACTAGATCACTGGTTTATAAAAAAGGATATAACTTGGGAACAGCCAGATGGAAGAGATCCACAGGACAAGGCATGGGGAAAGGGTGTGGAGCTTCCATGCTCTCTGGATGGCCACTCTCCCCGCACCTCCATGTGTTCATCAACCCAGAAGCTCTCCAAACCTTGTCCTTTGGGTTTTTATGGAGGCTTCATTACATAGACATAATTAACTAAATCTTTGGGCATTGGTGACTGATTCAACCTTCAGCCCTCTCCCCTCCTAGCAGGTTGAGGGTAGGACTGAAAGTTCTAACCCTCTTATCACACAGCTGGTTCGCCAGGCAACCGCTCCTCAACCACCGCCCCCAGCTACCCAACCCCCCCTCCTTTAATTGCAATTTAATGTAAGTAGCCTCATTAACATAACACGAGACACCTTTATGCCGTCATCACTTAGAGTTTTTAGGAGCTGTGTGCCAGAAATGGGGACGAAGACCAAATATGTTTTTCTTATTATAAATCACAATATCAGTCTTTTTTCCCCCACAGAAAAGCCGGTGCTTCAGAGCCGACACTCTTTAGATGGCTCCAAACTTGTGGAGAAAGTCGAAAGTGCACAGCCGCAGCCGCTGTGGGTAACGTTAGCACTGCAAAAGCAGAAGGGGTTTCGGGAGCAGCAAGCCACTCGAGAGGAAAGGAAGCAAGCCAGGGAGACCAAACAGGCAGAAAAGCTCCCCAGGGAGAACGTGAGTAGCCTGGTCTTCAGCTTCAACTTTGCCCTTCTCGAGCTTGGCTCTCTTTTATGGTTGCAGGGCTTAAGAAAGAAAGGCTAGGTGGGAGTGGTGTAGAATACTTAGGAAGGGTAGAGCAATAAACAGATTGACCACTGTTAAACTAGGGATGTGTTTTCAGTTAGAAATTTGATTCAGTTTCCTTATGCCCAGGGTAACCTGATTTGGCAGAATTCACAATATAATTAGTAGCAGTGATCCACGTACACAACAGTTATGTGAGAAATATGAGAAATGATTATATCCGAGCAGAGAGTTGGGAAGAAATCAGGAGTGTTGCTCTGTGGCCCTGATTTGATCATCAGTTTGATGGGACTCTTCTCAGAAAGTAGTGTTTTTTTCTTTGGGACATTTGTACTGAGCTGCTCCACAGTTAGGGGCCAGGGTTGAGTATATATTGGTCCCAGGTGCATTCCAGCAGCTCCTTTGGGTACAGATGATGAAGGCTGGCAGGAGGAAGCCCCCAAGGCCTCGCACAGTCAGTTTTTCCATGTGCTTAGGTTGAAAACACACTTTCCCTGACTTTCTCTGCCCAACCAGGTCAGTGTCAGCCTGCAGCCTGGAAGCAGCAGTGTCAGCCGAGCTGGTTCTCTGCACAAGGTCTCTGCTCAGCCAGAAGAGAAGAAGCCAGAAGAGAAGCCAGAAGAGAAGAAGCCAGAGACAGCAGTGTCCAGGCTTGAGCGCAGAGAACAGCTGAAAAAGGCCAACACTCTTCCTACATCTGTGACAGGTAGAGAGAGCAGCTCCATTTCTATTTAACCGTAGTTACAGGTTTTGCTTCTTACAGCATACTTTATTTCTTCCAGCTTAATAATTAGTACAGCATTTTAGGCATTTCAAAGCACAGGTTTCATAACCCCATTCATAAACTTTGACACTGATAAATCGCATCTGGTAAAGATTCCCAGAAACTCACCCACCCCCAGTGGTATGATGATAAATGTTTAACAATCAGCTCTTCGGGAAGTGGAGAGACTTCTGATTTGTAGTATTTGCCATGAGCTGTGGTGTAAATATTCCCACCGTGGCCAATTTCAAGCTACCAATTATCAACTGGTTCACTAAATTCCTAAACAGTTAACAAGGTGGTATAAGCCCTCTCCAGGGTCCCAGGGTCTTTAGTCCAACAAAACTGGGCTTATTAACTTGCTGTGGCAGGGGAGACTACACACCATCAGAACCTCTAAAGGAAGAGACATTTGGGGAAAACGCTGAAGTTTAGGTGAAATTTAGGTGAGCAGTATTTTGATATGCTCAAAGCAAAGCAAGGGTGAGGGGTACACATAAAGGGGTTGAGCTCAAGCCTGGGATGAAAGATAGACTCAGGGCCCTGCTTCCTTTGACACTACAAAGTTAAAATAAATGTGTGGAAGCTGTATCTGAAAACCCCTACCTGGAGCTCTGCACCTGTGTTGGAAATGGAAGCTGCTTTTCTGAATCAGTGACCCACATGGCTCAGACGCTCCAGGCAAAACTGGGCTGGTCTCTTTTACCGATGTGATTTCAAACAGCAAGTTTCTGACCCAGCTGTGACTTTAGAGAACAAGATTATTCAGCTCTAAGTTCCTGATGTAACAGCAGCATAAACATTTTTTAATTCTTTATCCTGTTAAAAGGTAAAATGATTTAATAATGTTTCTAGCTAGTTTTTTATTACAAATCATTTGGAGGATGGATGAATCTAAACAAGTTTCCTCCAGGGGTTAATAAAGCATCTGTTTTCCCCACTGGGCAGCTCTGTGGACACCCAAGCTCCAAAACCAGGAATTTTTTTGTGCCTTGGTGACCTGCTTGCTGAGATCTAGAAATGTACAGAGGTCTTACCATAAAAGCTATATTTACTATTTGGTGAGAAAACAGTTTTTTCAAAGACCGCTTTGGAGCACTGTACAATTTCTCAAGAACCTCCGAGGGTATATCATTTCATTTTATCTTATGCCCAGGAATTAAGGGTTCTAAACATCATATGGGTATGTCAGAATTCATCCAAAATAAAGTGGAAGCTCCAAAGTCAGGTCAGAGAGATTACACCTTTCTTTTCCTGATTTCTTGGAAACACCAAAGGGTTAATGCAGTTCAGAGTGGCTCAGCTTAATAAAGCAAGCCTTCCTTCTGAGGTATTTGTCTTTTCCATCAGCATTTCCTGAGTTCTGCTATGTGTGGGCCATTGCCTCAGGCACTAAATATGACCCGAGGAGAAAATGGGAACCCTTACTTTAAGAAGCTTCTAAGATCTGGTAAAGAAAGTGATGTGATGCACAGGAATTGCTAGACAAGACTGGGAGTCCTAAGAGCTGGCTAGGCTGTGGGCCTGAGGGGAAAGGGACCCAGGGCATGCTTGGTGGCGGCAGGAGCTTTTGACCTCGCAGATTGATAAATTGAAACTGCTGGTTTGAGTTTTTTCTTCATGAAATTGACTGGTTATAACAAATTTTACCTTTTTTTTTTTATTATTATTATGCAGGCATAGCTTCTGTGCACAGAAAAAATTAGGCTTCTAGAAATTCTCTGAAATTAGAATCGACTGCACTGTGACCACTATAATTTTGTATATAATGGT